ACTGTGATGTTTAATTATGTATTGTGACTCACCAACACCCAACTGTGATGTTTCATTACCTACTGTGGCTCACCAACACCCAACAGTGATGTTTAATTATGTATTGTGACTCACCAACACCCAACCATGATGTTTAATTATGTATTGTGGCTCACCAACACCCAACTGTGATGTTTAATTATGTATTGTGGCTCACCAACACCCAACTGTGATGTTTAATTATATATTGTGACTCACCAACACCCAACCATGATGTTTGATTATGTATTGTGACTCACAAACACCCAACTCTGATGTTTCATTACCTACTGTGGCTCACGGACACCCAACCATGATATTTAATTATGCATTGTGACTCACTAACACCCAACTCTGATGTTTCATTACCTACTTTGTGACTCTAAAGCTCTACCAGAATTTTATTGATAAATGTAGTTGATAATTCCAGTTTGTGGATAACAACCAACATTTACCTGAATGTGGTAAAACTGGAGAAGTTAAAAGGGAGAACTCCTGTGGTCCAGGAAACAGGTGACTGGGGGATCGTAGAATGTCAGGAGGAGGCTTTCCACTAGAGGTCTGATGTTGATGCTTGTAGATTTCCCAGGCAACACGTACGTGAATGGCACACCATCTTCCTGGCTTCTGTGAAAAGGATTCAATCGTTTATTGCGTCTTTTCCAAACCATCCAACTTTTATGTTTTCTCTATTTTTATCTACAACATAGAACATTATTTTATTCAAGGATATAACAGTGCTACTGTTTTGTTTACTGAAACTCCCAGATGTTAGAAATAGAGTTAACGTTTTTTAAAACTTTCAGTGCTGACTGAAGAATGAAAAGCATTTTCAAAGTAGATGACAAACACCTTCAAATTAATGTTTATATATTGTACCCAACATTTCAGCTTACGCCTTTTCTCAGGTTACAGTAACTGAAAACAATGTTATGGAATGTTAGATGGAGAAGTATATTAAAACTAGAGTCACTGATCAATAAAGTAATTTTTAAAAATAAATAAATAATAATGGTATTATAGGAGCCAGACATTATATCTGTTAATGGAAGGGTATTTGGACCGAATCAAAAGAGATTCTTTAAATTTTCTGTAAAGAAAGTTGATCTGATAAGGTGTCTCGTTAATTATTCCATGTGTGTGTGTGTGTGATGTAATGTTCAGTAGTGGTGTAACTGTGTTCACCTACGTGTATGGCTGAACACTATGTACACGTCATTTCATAGACATTATTTCTAATTGTGTGGGATTTCTCTAGATTGTTGTTATTGAACGATGAATGAGTAAATATGTCCTTCAAAGCACATCGTCTAATCACTTGACGAGGACGAGTAGTTAAAGGTTTATCAACGAAAAGCATACTCCAAGATTTTGATGTGGTGGTTTCTTTTTCTGCTGTCGTTCTTTTTAAATCTTGTGTCAAAATTGTGAAATGTCCTAGTAATACAACTATCTGGATAGCCATTGGACACAAAAACCAACAGCTTAGAGAAATCCTGCAAACTTAGGAACACCGTCTATGAAATGACATGTACACAGTGTTCAGCCATATTCACAAGTGAATCCAGTTATTCAGTACATGATCGTTTCAAAGAACTTCATAACACTGCAAATCCTGACAACAAAGAAGCTACTACCGAACATTACATCAATGCACACGGCATAATTAATAAGACACCTTATTGGATCAAAATTTTAGGGAGTTGTATCAATTTTCTTGAAAGAACATTTAAAGAATCTCTTTTGATTCAATCCAAAAACCCTTCCATTAACAAATACAGTGCCTGGTTCCTATAATATTATTACTATTTCTTTTTTAGCATTGATTTTTATGATTTGTGACTTTTCAACAATACTTTTATTACACTTCTTCCTGAAAGCATTCCATTATATTATTTATATTCTGTTTAATTACCATAATTTAAAATCAGTTTTGTAACATGTGACCTTCATTGACCCTTGAAAAAGGTGTAAGACAAAATTTTGGATACAATAAATAAACATTTATCTGATATTTGTTTGTTATCTTAATTGAAAATAGGGGGTAACAGTTAACCAAGGTCCTTTATTACAGTATGTTGTACAAAACCTTTTAGGAATAAAACTTATTTGTTTAGTAAACCTTAATAAAGACTGACATAATCGTAGTTCTGATATCTAGTGGGAAATATTAGCTACAGTAGGCTAATTATAGACAATTATTTCATATTCACATCAAGAAAAGTGTACAAAATTAACCTTATATATATAGTATTTGAACAACTTGATTTTATTTAAATCAGCTTGCAAAATGACTTGTTGGTGTGTATAAATAAATATAGTAATAGTATTACACATATTAAATGTTATGTATGTTAAAGGTATTATTTAGTCTGATGCCCACCTTTGGGTGAAAGGTGGGAACATGAGATGGTGGAGCAAATGGAGTAACACCACTACCCAACAGCGGAGAGAATCCTTGGTAAGGGTTCGATAATCCTAGCTGAATAAATATTATAAACTGTGTAACTAGAAACGTTATTCAATCTTCTCAAGTCAATATTCATTGCATAACACTACTAAACTTTTATTCACAGGATGATTTTCAAAACCAATAAAAATATCCATCTTAATTTTTCAAAATTTTACTCTCCTGTATGTGATTAGAATCATTTGATTCCTTTCAAAACTTATATTATTATATTATACTGAATTTTTTAAATAAAATTGTTGAAGAAAAGATGAAATATGATACTTACCGAACTTCTTCCATAATACTGTGTTGCCAGCTTCGGGAACTTATCAAACTGAAAACCAAACCCATGAAAAAAAAAATACTCAAAGAACTTTAACAAATAAGATATGTTTATTCTAATTCAATCTCGCAAATTGAGAGAAAAACAATGTTAAACTCTTGTAAATTTATGTAAGTATATTTTGTCTTTAAATAAACTGAAATGTTTTCTGATTTTATTACAGATTTATTTTATTTTCACCAAAGGTAAAATTTGATTTGCCACACCCTCTTGCTGTGGATTGAATTTTCCTCTATTCAAGGCTCATCAGCACAGCTTGGGTTAGCAAACCAAAGAAATGCAGTTAGGCTTCTTATAATGATGATGATGTTTAAGTAATATTTGTGTAGTTTTGAGCCCTATTTAATTCATTATATAATAGCCTTAATTAATTTAAGTGTGTGAATAATACTGTGGCATTGTGCCTAATTGATTATTTGATATTACACTGCAGACCAACTGTTTAATTATTATACTACAGATTTACCTTTGGCGATAAGAAAATAAATTTGTAATACAATCATTAATCAGTTGGTCAGCTGTATAATATCAAATAATAAAGTAGGCACAATGTCATAATATTATTTAGGTTATTATACAATGAATTAAAAAGGACTCAAATCCCCCCATGAAATGTCTTCCGTTCTGTCATGTGTGCAAAGTTCAAATACCTTTCATGAAATTTTCATTGGTATAAACATTT